TGGGACCCGAGGAAAGAGGGCCACCACAGGGGTTGTGTATCGCCTGGTGCTGTTTCAAGCCAAACGCTACGCAAGGGTTCGTATTTTTCTGACCTTCTTTTAAAAATGGGAACTTCAGGCTAAAATAAACCGGACAAAATCCTGACCTGCCCTGTCTGTCAAACACAGTCTGAAGTACCTCCTACATCAACATGCAATAGGAACCTTTAAACTTTGGGAAAGCCACAACTAAGTCAGTCCTTGACAGGTGGCACCTGTAAGTCTTTTATTTGTGTAGTAAATATCCCTCTCCCCCCCCCAAAAAAATCACTTGAATATTCTCCTTTCCATGCTGCAGCGTGACCAGGACCCCCAAGGGCAGTGCTGTCCCACGGGGGGCACAGGTGACAGGGGTTTCCTGGGCAGTACTGCCGAGTCCCTGCGAGCACCAGAGCGAACAGCAGCTCCTGCAGCAGCAGCCAGAAGCTGAATTCATGCCTTGGGCAGGAAAGCGCCTTCAGCACACCAATCCCTGCTCTCAACTGTGTTAAAACAATCAGCCAGTCCTGCCTGTATTTCGGTTAAGACATTAATAAAAATGTCACCATGCAATTGCCAAACCTTAAATCCCCCTTTCCCTCATGGGGAGGGAGGGGTGTCTGTGTTCCTGCCGGTAAACCGTTGCCTGAAGTGAAACCACCACCCAGACCACAGCTGGGAAGAGCTGCCCAAGGGAACCCCAAGTGATTTCCCCGCCCACCCCTTCGGCCCTGGGCAGGGCAGGGTTCTGCAGAGTCCCTCGGCGGTGCTGGTGCTTACCAGGAGAGGAGAGTTTGTTTGGGAGCTCCTAGAGCATGCTGCTCTGCCCGGGAGAGCGGGAACACGCGGGGGTGTGCGCTCCTTCGGTGGTTATCCTTCACCAGGGCGACAGGGACAGAGGGGAACAGCAAGGCCCACGCCGAAATCCTCTTCCCCGGGAGCTTCTAACACCAGTGGGGCAAAGACCCAGTGAGGGGGGGTGCTGGGGTCAGGGTCTCACAGCCAGCTCACCCCTCCCCCAGACGGGGAGCATCCTCCTGGCTCCACCTCCCCCTCGCTCTGCTCCCACCGCGGCCACAAACCGACCCACCGAGCCGCCCCCGCCGCCGGAGGCCGAGGCTCCGCCGTACTGACGTCCGCTGTCCCACCAACGGGTGAAAGTAAGTTTTTCCCCAGGTTTATTTACTAAACCGTTTCACATTCGATGAGATAGTTACAACAATACTTACAGAGCATCACCACGAGCGCAAACACATCGAGAACACCGGTAAGGACCGCGGAGGCAGGTGACAGGTATGTTCCTGTCGAACTCAGGTGCCACTTGTGTAAACAATAACGGACCCAGAGCGTTGCTGCTAAGAGAGGTGTACAGGTAAGAACACTCCACACACACAGAACTACAGGTATCGTTTTATACACCCAACCAAAGCACTCCGGTCAAGCCCGAGTACAGTTTGGTATTCTCTGTACAATTATTAAATCCTGCTAAAAATCATAGTTATCCTTGGGTTTAAAATACAGCACAGCGCATAAGGCAAAAAAATAGGAATTATCATCCAGTTCTTTGCGTTTCAGTTAAACATCAAGGATTTAAGGCAAGTTTGGACATTTTGCATTGTTTCACACAGTGGATGGGGACTTACAGATGGCAAATTCACAAAGGTCACATGCTGTCTCCCAGAAAGAGAGCGCTGTTTGTAATGCACACTGGACACACCCACCCCTCTAGAAATTCCGACCAGACTTTGTCAAAGAACGGCCTTCCTAGTAGGAGAGGCTGTCGAGAAGCTTTCGGATGGAGACCTTAAATTAAAAAAAAAAAAAAGGTAAAAAGCAGAAATTGAGGAACTGTATGTACACATATAAACTCACGCCCATTTTAAAGTGCTTTACAGATAATTTTGAGTGACTCAGAAATAGAACTGGATGATAATTTGCAGTGGTATGACATCTTCTTTGAAGGTCCTTAGTTTTTCAACTGCCAGACAGACATTCCATGAGAGCACCGCCCTTTGAACGCAGGTTTAAACCCCGGCCTCGTAACCCAGCGCTTCAGTGAACGGGACAAGGAGCACCCAGCGCAGCAAACGCAGACGGGGTGACTTTAGGTGACGCGATTCCCCAGGCCGAGACGCTGTTCCACCCACTGCTGGCTGAACAGTTCACCTGACAACGGCAGCACCTCTCAGCGGGCATTTTCCCCGTTCTTCCGACCGTTTGCCTTCAATCCAGCAGCCCCACCCTGCACCCCGGGGCCAGCCTACCCCCTCGCTAACGCCGCGCCGCCCAGGCAGAGGGAGCAAAACACCCTGCCCTCCGAAGGGCTTTGACTTCCACACGGGAAAGATGCTGACACAAACATCGACCCACCACCACGCCGACCCACGGATTGCCGTTCTGAGCAAGCCAGACCCACGCCCGCGCCTCGCCCCGCTCTGCACCAACCCAGAGCAGCGTTCACTGAGCCAGCCAGAGCACGGACACCACGCACGGAATCCTGGCGCGGTTAAACTCGGCTGCGTGGGAAGCCTCCCATCGATAAAAGGCATAAACTTCTCTCTCGGGTAAGAAATTCTTCCTACTTCCCTATCAGTTTGGTAAGTGCCTTTATCTCCAGGGTATATTCGAAAGACGGCGACCAGCGGCACCTCTGTGACACCGACTGAGAATCCAGCGGCACACGTGGGCGCTCCGCTGGGGCGCCCGCCTGAACAGGAGAAGGCAGCCACGCAGCAGGCTGAAAGGTCTCCCTTCGTCCCCGGCCCCTCACCTGCTCCCTTCCTCCTCCTCCCCACGCGCAAACGTGCCACACGGAACCCTGGAGCTGCTTGTGTCCCGCCAGCAGGCTCACTGGCACAAGGAAACGACGCTATTATTGCTATGTAACTAGAATCCTCAGTGGGTCAAAGAAACTGCATTGAAAAACGCTGGAATCGTTAAATTTATTTGCTTCTAAAGTCCTGCTTAATTCTAGCAAATCTGAAGAACGTGTGCAGGACGTTATAGTCTGTGCAAACCCCTGTTTTCTATGAATAATGTTTTATGTGAAAACACCTCAAAACGGCTTGAAGTCTGACCGCCAGCGTATGGAAGAGCAAGGAGCACCCCTGCTTGCCCGGCTGCAGTTAGCTCTGCAGGACCTAGAATAAACCCAGCACGCTCACCCTCCTTCCACTCAGCATACTTGTAAAGAAATGGCTTTTAAAGCAACTATTTCAAATATTATTGCACCTTCAAAAATAATACTACACAGGCTTGAAAAAACAAGGGGAAACAAACATTAATTTAACGTGTTAAAACAAGTGGAAAATAACTCTGGAGGCAGAAAAATCCTTAGTACCAGGCCTGGCAACAGACATACAGACACCGAAACAGAAATTCAAGATAACCGCGATTCCTAGTTAAAAATCAGTAGAGAAACCAAAACGCTCTAAATTAGCTAAAATTCCTATTTATTCAGTCATCTATTTTAAATACCAGTTATAACCCACAGCACCGCGCTCTCTTTGCCTGCCCCACGTGTCACTAAGTTTAGGGCCATCACACAGTTCTGCCTCTCGAGGTTCTGGTTAGTCCCAGGAACCGACCCTCAGCGCTCCGCTCCGCAGGACACAGCCCCGGGACGAGCTGCCGTGCCCCGCGCTTCCCCTTCACTGCAGCTCGTGCTAAAGGCAAGGCCGCCTGAAGAACCCGAGGCGGGATCTCCCTGCTCACTCCCTACTTAGGGGTTTGGGAGAGTAGGAACAACAAACGTTGATCTTCTGGGAAGAAAGAAAAAAAAAAAAAAAAAAGAAGGAAGTGTAACAAACATAGAGCTCATTCAGCACAGGGTGTTGTTCTCGACAGTTTTCATAGGCACGAATGTATCAAGCAAATAAAGAACCAAAACCCCCACTACAACCACCAAAACAAGCGTGCGTTCTGCAACCCCCACTACAACCACCAAAACAAGCGTGCGCTCTGCGTTCTGCACTGGAATCAGTGACAGCCTCACCCTTAAGTCCTACATTTAGCACCAGTTTTAGGTCCGAACGCTCTCAGAAAGCAATCATACATTCTTTTAAAGAAGGAAGTTAGACAGGAGATGGACACAAGCGCGCTTGGGAGAAGGATGGGATGGATTCATTTGGGAGGGTTCATTCAGACCACGCTATGACGCTGCTGTGGCACCTTCCCGTGCGTTACCGTGGTCACCTCGCCTCGCGTTACGACTGAGAGCACTCAGCAGACTGGCGAGAGCGAGCCATTTCATCCAGCACTCCTTCATCCACAAAAAGAAAACGTAAGGGAAGTTAAAAGTGTGATTTCTCTTCATCAGATCCCAAAATTTCACTGAGAGGCAGCAGATCCGCCTTGTGAATTTCTGTGAGTAGTCACTAATTCCCATCCCGGCCCTCCTGCCAGTAAGCGGGTGACAAAGGAGTGTACAGGCAACATCCCACGGCATTTATTATGTACAAACCTTGAGATACAGGAACAAGGCAGCCCTTTAGTTACTGTTCATAAAAAACGACGAAGCACTGGCGTTTTCTCCATACGAAGACACAACCAGACAGCGGGCAGCAAACGGCCCGGCCGCACACCGCACGCGCACGCCTCACTCAAGCGCAGTAAACTTCAGGTTTCAGAGGAGGCAGGAGAAGAGAGAAAAGCTCTAGAAGGTGCAAGGGTCAGATAGACAGGAGGTTTTCTATCCACAGCCCAGGCATGTACAGTCCTCTCCAAATTCCACCGCCAGTAACAGGATGCCAGCTCGACCCAGCTGGTGACGAGCCTTGCGTCCCTTCCGCCCGCGTCCCCGGAGTCACCAAGGCCGGTCACCGGCAGAACACCAGTCCTCCCTCACTGCAACCCCACCTTCACCACGTGCCTCCAGCTTCCCAGCTCCAGAAAACGCAGCTTACGGTCTCCCCCAGCGGGGTTTGTTTCCAAGCAGGCTAAGCTCCACCCCCGCATCGGGTCCGTGGAAGTCCTGCTCCTCCTCAGAGCGCGGTCAAGCCGAAATTGCACCGGCAGTACATCATGCCCGCGGAGTCCAGCCAGGCGTCGGCGATGGGGTCGTACCTCTGCACCGTGTTCAGGTAGGACGAGCCCGAATGGCCCCCGACCACGTAAAGGTAGTTATCGATCACGGCGGCACCAACTCCTGGGGGAAAGGAAGGAAAGGGAAGGATTGATGATTGCCAGGTGCGG